ACCACACATGGCATCACCAAGAGTCAGAAGTGACTGAATGGCAACTGTATTGGTTTACTTTTTTTTTTTGGTCTTTTTTCTTTTTTTTTTTTTTTAATTGTGATTTGGGTGAAAATTTGCAGAGCAATTCACTTTCCATACAGCAGTTCACATATACTTTGTCTCATGACATTGACTACAATTTATCACAATGCAACAGCTCCCCTCCCATTTCCTCCTGATAGTTACCTCTTCCCCATGTCCATCCCTGCATGCATTCCTGCCCCCTGAGCTGTCTCTCTGTGCATAAATAGCCCTTCTTTCTCCCATGATTGTTCTATCCAAGGAGTGTATCTACCTCAGGGTTTACTTTTTTGAGTGTCTGTGCTGGAAACTTCATGTAACTTTGTTCACACCCAAATCACGTTTCTGCCACCACTTTCTCCTCCCACTGGAGAGAGATGTTTAATCCCTAGGAAACAACCACACCACTGAGATTATCTTTTAACTGCAAGGAGGTAGTGTGTGAAAGTAATCTTGTGTGATTTGGCGACTCAAGACCACTGAAAGGCTTTCTCTGTTGAGTACCATCATCTATTCCACTCCCTCCTTGAGGTCAATGTTGTTTGCCTGGGATAACAGGGCAGAAACGCTGAGAAAGCAAGCAGCCCTGACATTTCCCAGGTGGTCTGATTTTTAGCGGAGTGCTGAAAAATGAAACAGACAGTTCAACCTTTAGTCCCTTCCTGACAAGACTTAATGAAAATGGTTTGGAGAGAGAGAATCTTGGAATCAGTCCAAAGCAAACCAAATCAGACTAAACCCGTTGCTGTCAGCTCAATTTCAACTGCTAGACCCTGTATGACAGAGTAGAACTGCTCCATAGGGTTTTCAAGGCTGTAAATCTTTACAGAAGCAGACTGCCTCATCTTTCTCTTGAGGAATGGCTTGTGGGTTTGAACCACTGCTGACTGTTCAAGTAGCAGCTGAACGCTTAACCACTGCACCACCAGGCCTCTTTTTGTTCAAACCAGGTACCTGTATACCCACAGGGTAAAAGCAGATGTGCCTTAATTAACAGAGGGATTAGAGTGAGCCAGGGGAGGTTGTGAAATTGCAATACTTGGCTTGTGATTTCCTGCTTCCTCCTAGGAGTTTGGTAAACCTCTGCTGCACTCTCGTGACTTAACTCTCCATTCCCAGTTCCCTTGCTTTGCAGAAATTTTTAGAATAATCACAATTATACCTGTTTAAAAAGAAGAGGTCATCAAAGCACACACCCACAGCACAGGGTGAGAGTTGGGGTAAGGAGCTGATAAAGAACAAGGATAGTAAGCTGAAAAGCAACCTTGGAGTTTTACAGGATATTACAAGAGTTAACAGAAAAAGGGTTCCATGGTTGAGTAACTTAGAGAAATGCTAGGTCAAAAAAGTTGAACCAACCTCTTCATTGTAGGATTCTTCAGAGTCTTAAATAAACTAGCAGGCCTTAGCAATCTTCCAGAAAAATGGAATAGACAGTGGTTCCCAAATTTATTTGACCACAGACCTCTGAGTACCTTTCAGGACTGGTGTCACTCAGAACATAATTTGGCACTTGCTGCCTTAAAGTGCTGTCTTAACAGGTGTGATAAAACCTCTATTATGCCATCCCTACAGACTGGGGGAAAAATAGCTCAGCTATTAATAATTTGTTACTTTCACCACTACTGTAACTCTCATTTCAAGCATGGTGAGGATGGTGATGTTGCATTCTTTATCAGCTGGCCTAAAATAGCCCCAAGGCACTTGAATGCCAATGTCTGAGTTTAAAAAACCTGTAAAACAGCTCTGTCCCAGCAAAGAGACTCACCCCTTATTTCTGCTAATTAGATGGTGACTTTGGCATATGTCATCCTCACTGTGGTCTTGGTTTCCTTATCTCTAGCCTGCAGGAGTCAGAATAGATTTCCGAGGCCCTTCCAAGCTCTAACAGTCAACCATGGACTCTGAACACTAAGTATATTTTTGTAATCCACCATTTCATGGGGTGAAGGAAAAAATGACTTTGCTCTGAAGGTTGACTCAGTGTGACTCTTTTTAAGCCTATCAGCTCTCTACCTGCTGTCTCCTGAACTCTGTGCCAACACCCTGGGTAAATGAAGCTGGGCTCACACCCAGTCACTCAAGCACTGCACTCTCCCAAAGTCCCAGCCCTGGCAGGCAGGGAAGTAGACACTACCATCTCAAGGAGAAGGAGGGCAGCTCTGACCAGGAGGAGTTCAGGGTCTTCACATCCAAAACTGCTTCTCCCCACATAACCATGTGCCAAGAGGGAAAACTCAGTCTAAGATGAGGAGGGGCAGAATCGCAGCCAGCCAGTTCTCTTCTTCCCACAGGATTCCCCAGCAGATGCTGCTGTTTATAGGATCACAGCTGCTTCCTGTCCTGCCATATCCTGGGGCTGCCTGACAGAAAGACTGTCTTGCTTGAATGCAGAAGTTACTTTTACCATAGTTTGCAAAATCAATTCTGGGGCTGGAGATGTGGTTTGAGAGTTTCAAGCAGCTATTAATACAGGGCAGAACTCAGACCAATTATCTTGTCCACTGCCCAGATCAGGAACAAGCTCTCTGCATCTCTCAACAGCTGACTGCTGCCTGTCAGCAGACACTTTATTTCTAATTCTAACAGGACCAGAAAAAAAAAAAAAAAATCCAAATCATCACACCAAAAGGCTACCTAGATCCTTACTAAAACCCAAACTTCGGTATTATGCACTAATTTTGTAATCAAGCAAAAACAGTTACCAGAAGACACTGCAGGAAAAAATGCAAATGTTCTTTCTTTGCAGCTACTAGAAATGACTGCCTTACATAAGAGAAAAGGTCCTTGCAAAGGTTCTGTCAAGAAACATCAAGCTACAAGAGAAATGCTCAGAATTCCCTGGTGTTAAAAGGAACAAACTACCAAAAATTGCCTTGAGGGCTCCTGTTGGATAAGTCAGCCTGAGTCCAAGAAAGAAGCGTTTTCACTCTATTGACAGCATATAATTATTTAAAGTCTCCTTTGTCTTTGATCGAGGAAAGTTATGCTCTGATCCTTTGAGGGATTCAAGGTGGGAAAGCTCATGCTGTGAGTCGCAAGAAGGTCCCCTCCGACCACTTACCCTACACCTGCAGGAAACTTTGAAGCTGCCAATGACTAAAAGTATCAAAGAGCAAAATAAAGTACAAAATAATGTGCTTGGTGACATCCTGACAGAGCAGAAACATTAGGGCTCATAAAGCACTGGTCAGCACAAGTAAGCTTCCCTAGAACTATTTCAGCATACACGAAACAAGAGACACATGGAGCTTTGAGGCTACTAGGAGTCCCAGACCTTCGTTACGGAAAGAGACTATCCCTGTGTTCTCAGCTCAAAGACAGAAGTTTTGACTTTAAGTAGGAATACTGTTTCTTCCTTGATATTTGTCCAAAAGTTCAGACCAGTTCATAGGCCAGTGTGTCTCATGTAAACTGTCACCACTACCACTACACACATTCCTTTTGCTTCGAGACCCTCAGAGCCCCCTCACTTCTCTTCTCTCCCTAATCTGGGCTCTTCCTATCTGGTCAAAACCACTCCAAAGTAGATCCTTGACCAAAGGGTGGAATTATTATCATAGCCATTTTTCAATTTGGGCTGCCTTCCCACCTTCTCCCAGCCTTCCTTTCCTGACAATTCTCAGGAGCTCTCCTATATGCTATACGTTAGTTAGGCTGCTGAGGATGGGTAACCTGAGCTTTTCCCACGTTTCCATCAGAGGCTTCCACCTCCTCATTATGTTGCTGTCCTCTCCTCTCCTCAGGTGACTCAAGGCAGGGGTCTCTCCTAGATTGCAAAGATGTAGCAGCAACATTTCCCACTCAGGTGGGGTAGCTTCTCTCCCTGACACTGGGAGAATTTCCTCGAGTGTCCGACCATGCCTGTTCCCGTCCTCCCCAACAGTGCCCAGTGAGAAGGGCTACTTCTTGGGTGCTAAAAGACCCCACCTCATGCCCTGCTACCACGCCCCGCCCCCTCTGCAGGTCCACCTGCCGCTAGTCCCGCCCCCCCAAACGCTACGATAGGCCAGCTCTCAGAACCTGCTCTCCTATTGAACAGACAGCCCGTCCCTCCTACGCCACGTCTCCGGGTTTTGGCGAAAGAGGCCCGGGTGGCGGCCCTTGGCCCCAGAAAGAGGTGTCAGTTGAGGACTGTACCTGGAAAGGATTTACGTCCACTGGGTCCGCGAAAGGGTTGGTGTCGAAAGCCGACATGGCTGTGTGGGACCGACGGGCAAGCTCCGCGAGCACTGCTGCCTCCCGCCACCCAGACCCAGTGGCGCTCTCCGTGCAGACCCTCTACTTCCGGGAGCGAGGCAACCGTTCTGGCGCAGGCGCAGCGTCCTCTTGAGAGGGGCGTGTTCCTGTGACGGCACAGAGGTAAGCTCCGCCCATACGTCCAGCTCACCACAGAGCTGCGGCCGCTTTGGGCTGCTGGGTTTCTACTTGTTATGCCTATGCTTTGAGGAGCTCTGCTGGCGTAGTGCCTAAGGCACTTGACTGCTAACCAGAAGACTGGTGGTTCAAACCCACCAGCCACTCCTCGGAAAGAAGGTGGTGGGGCAATCTACTTCCGTAGAGATACCGCCTCGGAAACCCAAGGAGGGGTCTCTGAGTCAATCGACCCGACGGCAGTGAGTAAAGGATAGTTGAGATTTGCTGCTGTTGTTATGTGCCGTCGAGTCAGTCCCGATAGCGACCCTTCCTTGGGTTGCCGAGGCGGTATCACTACGGAAGTAGATTGCCCTACCTTCCTTCCGAGGAGTGGTTGGTGAGTTTGAACTGCCTGCCTTCTGGTTAGCAGTCAAGTGCCTTAGGCACTATGCTACCAGAGCTCCTAGTTGAGATTTAGACAGAATAAAAGAGCATAGTGGAAGAGCATACAGCTCTACTCTGCTACACTCTTGTTGAATGAGTGTACGAACGAATGGTGTCTCTCTCACAGGGAAGTGGATAGATCCTAGGGAGTAAGGGGGGCAGGAGTGCCAGCTTCCTGCCATGGGATTGTGGGAGGGAGTTCCTCATCTGAGATGCCTTCGCAGGACTAAGAAAGGGGTTTAGCCGTAGGGGTGGAGCACAAGTGTCCTTGAAAGCTCTTGCTCTGACAGAGAAACACATGGCCTTGCAGCTGCCCCCCCTAAGCTGAGCCCTGTGATGTCAGCAAGTTTCCCTATTTCAGGATGATGATCCCTAGGCCCAAGCAGGTTTAAGACCTGAGCTGGGATTTGAAACTGGCAGTCAAATATTTATTAAATGAAAGAGGGAGTGAAGCAAGAGCCAGCCATCAGCCTTGGAGGAGATGGCTGATTCACTCCCCACCTGTTGCTGATTTTGACTCAAAGTGACCCCATGTGACAAAGTAGAACTGCTCCATTGAGTTTTCTTAGCAGTAATCTTTACAGAAGCAGATTGCCAGGCATTTCTTCCACAGAGCAGCTGGATAGGTTCTAACAACCAGTCTTTAGGTTAGCAGCAGATTGTAAACCACGCCCAGACTCCTACACTCCCCACATACTCACCTTGTTCACATCTCTGTTTTTATTCATCTCTGCTGCAATCGAATCCAGCCACTGTCATTTCTTACTCTGGACAAGTATGGGGCTGCTCATTCATTTCCAGCCACTGTCATTTCTTACTCTGGACTAGTATGAGGCTGCTCATTCATTTCCTTCCCATTTTATCACCTTTCAGTCTATTATTTTTCATATTGCAGACAGATCTATTTAAAGGGCACAAAATTATTTTGGTACTTTTCTGTTTAAAATCCTTCCATTGTTTTCCATAAAGGCCCAAATTTTAATGTGACCTCAAGGTCCTGCAGGTTCAGCCCCCACCTATCTTTTCCTTCTCACCTCTCCTCCTGCTTACTCCACTGCATTCCAGCCATACTGGTGGCTTTTCAATTCCTCAAACTTCCCAAGTTCCCTCCCTCCCTGTACAAGGTCTTAGGGCCTTGCACAGCATTGCTGTTCCTTCTACCTAGTGTACATTAATCCGTGTCCCCCATCTTCCCCTCGTTAACTCCTACTCTTCCTTCAAATCCAAGCCCAGATGTCCCCCAGGGGTGGTCTCCTCTCCCTACCTAGGTTAGATCAGGCTCCCCCATCACAGGCAGTCTTAGTACCCTGTACTTTTTTTCCATGATGCCTATTGCAGATTATATTTATACACTGTGTAGTGTGTTATTTGTTTAGGTCTGTCTCTACCACTAGACTGTAAGCTCCATGAGAGCAGGGGCAGGATCTATTTCATTCATCATTGTATTTCTGACACTAACATAATGCCAAACACATAATACCAAAAACCAAACTCACTGCTATCGAGTTGATCCTGACTCAGCAACCCCTCCTTGGGTTTCCAAGGCGGTCTCTCTATGGAAATAGATTGCCCAATCTTCCTTCCCAGGAGTGGTTGGTGGATTTGACCAGTTTTCTGGTTAGCAGTCAAATGCCTTAGGCACTAACGTCACCAGAGCTCCCCTTAAACACACACACAACAGGCTTTAGTAAATACTGCTTTCCCATCCAATTCTCTTACCTTCCTCGACTCTGTCTAAATCTTAGCTATCCTTTAGAATCCAGCTTAACTTTTCTCTAAGAAATATCCCCAAGTGGGAGGATAGGAAAAAATGTGTGTTTGTGTTCCTGCAGAAGACAACTACCCCTAAGTCCTACAGCCCCCTCTGAGGGCAGCATACAGAGACCTCTGCTGTCTGCTGCCTGAGAGAACCGACTTAGATACATACAACCAAGGCTGTCCTGCCTCCTTGTTTGCTCCAGCCTGGTCAAGTGCTGGGCTGCTGAATAAATAATAGAGCTTAACTATCACCAATGTAGAATCCACCCACCCATCTGTCTCCAAAGACACCCTAGAATCTGTCCTCTGCCGTGTGAGAGAGACACCATTTATTCACTCATTCATCAGGGGAGGAAGTATACCAGAGTAGAGCCCTATGCTCTTGGACCAGTTACTTGACCTCTCTGAGACTCATTTTTCTCATCTTTACGATGAGGCTAAGTTCAGAAAACAACAAATGCTGGTGAGGGTATGAAGAGACTAGAACCCTCATATACTGCTGGTGGGCTGTAAAATGGTGCAACCACTGCGGAAAACAGTATGGCACTTCCTTGAAAATCTGGAATCAGAAATACCATATGATATATGACCTACAATCCCACTACTAGGTATATATCCTAAAGAAATAAAAGCCGTGACACAGATATATGCACACCCATGTTCATGGCAGCACTATTCACAATAGCAAAAAGATGGAAAAAACCTAAATGCCCATCAGTGGAGGAATGGAACACCAAACCATGGTACTTACACACAATGGAATACTACACAATGTTAAAGAACAATGATGAATCTGCAAAACATAACATGGATGAAAGGATCTCTGGTGGCGTAGTGCCTAAGGCATTTGACTGCTAACAAGAAGGTTGGCGGTTCAAACCCACCAGCCACTCGTCGGAAGGAAGGTTGGGCAATGTACTTCCGTAGTGATACTGCCTTGGAAACCCAAGGAGGGCTTGCTATGAGTCGAAATTGACTCCACAGCAGTGAGTGTGGTTTGTTGTTTTATGCTTAGTGACATTAGTCAATCACAAAGGGACAAACATTGTATGAAGCCATTAATGTAAAGTCAAGAAAAGGGTTTCACAAAAAAGTATTCTTTGATGGTTACCAGGGGTATGTGGGGAAGGGAAGGTAAACCACTAACTAGAGGGTGGTGATGGTGTTATTGAGAAGGTAGACATATATTAACTTGGGTGAAGAGAAAGGGGGAAGAAAATGAAAGTGTAAATGTGGTTTATATGAAAAGCTAGCAGCAATTTAAAAAAAACATAAAATGAGGCTAATGACAGTAACTATCTCATAGGGTTGTCTTGAGAATGTGAGAACATTCTTGAAAAGGGTTTAGCACAGCATCCAGTGTATAACAAACAAATGTTAGCTGTTGTTAGGACTTCACCCTCAGCAAGGCACTGGCAGATGTGAGCTGAATTAGACATACAGTCTAGTAGAAAAGAGAAAGATGAAAGTGGATCATTACTAGATAATAAAGTGTGATTAGTTCCACTAGAGATACAGGAGCAAGAGGTGAGGGTGGAAGGATCTAGGTACTCAAACACTCTAGTTTCCCATATGTTTTTTTGTGTATGGGATATGAGGGTAGAGTTTCTATTCCCTTGTCAATCTGAGTTCGTTCTTCTGTGTGGAGATACTATGACAAAATGATCCTAGTTCTGACTTCATTGGTGGTGGTGGTGGGTGTTCTGAGAATCTCTTGCACCTTTGCTAATCATTCTTTTCCCAGAAAGTTCATATGGGAAGGGGAGAGGGAATGAGGAGGAGGGATATTCCAAAATAGGAGATAGATGAGCTGTGCAGTTTGCATGATTTTTGTATTTTCCATTTTGTTACCCCTTCATGTCTGGTGAAGCTTCTTTTTTGAAATGTACACTGATTTATTAAGCCAGGAACCCCAGGGGAGGTTGATGTCCACATCTGGACAGAAGATTACAGAGTACCCCTTCTCTCCCTAGGGCAAGTATGCTAGAGGCTGTGGAAATTAGTGGTATCTCTGGATGGGGAGCAGAGTCAGGTCTGCAACCTCTCATTCCAGGTTTCCTGGAGCTTTGGCTGCTATGCTCCTGAGCCCCTCCAGCTGGCTGCCCTCTTCCTAGGCTGTTTCTTGAGAAGGTCCTGTGGAGTCTTTCTCCACAGGATGTAACAAGACTACTCCACAGCCAAGTCCCAGCCCCAGCCTGCCTTCCATTTAGAAGCTCCTGGTGATTCTTCCTGACTTCTGTGTGTGCTACTGTGAGCAGTTCAGCCTGGAGGAGGGGCCGAGGTTCTGAGCTCCTGCAGCACTCAGGGCAGGGAGAGTCAGAAGAGCACAAAGCACAGACTGTATTATAAGCACTCCACATCATCCCACCAGACCCCGAAACAAGTCCACAAGACTGGCATTATGTTCTCCATTTCCCTATTTCACAGCATGAAAGACAAGCTCAGAGAGGTTAAGGGCCTTGCATATAGCATTTGCAATTAGCCATCAAGCTTTAGTGAATTCCTACTTAGATCATAAGCAGTTCTTTGGTCAAACCTTCAGTTGACTGAGATACTTGAAGTAAAACCCAAAGTCCTCTCTGACCTTCTCACTTCCCCCCATCGTGCTCACTCTGCTCCAGCCACACTAGCCTTTTGCTATTTACTTCTTGACCATGAAAGACACTTTTTCATGTTCCCACCTTAGAGCCATTGTTCTAGCTGTTTTCTTTTGCCCAAAACACTCTTCCCTCATTCCTCACCACCAAGTCTTTCATCAAAGGATCATTAGCCTCACTGAACCTTACACAGACAACCTTTAAATTCTGCAAACTGCCTCCCACTCTTCTCTATTTTTTATTTATCAACACTATTACATTTCAACATACTATATGATTTACTTATTTATAATTTATTATACTTGTCTGTCTTCCTGCCCTAGAATCGAATCTCTAAAGAGGCAGAGCTTCTTGTTCTCAGGCCGTTATCTTGTTCTGTGATGTATCTCCAGTCCTTAGAACATTGTCTGGTATTAAGTAGTTGCTCAATAAACGTGTGTTGGGTGAAGGGATGAATATACTTAAGATTGTGGGCTGGAAGCCCCTGGGCTGATGGGAAGTCCTCCTGATAGGCAGAGTGTGAGAGAAGAAATCCGGTTTTCGGGGTGCCTAGTCAGGTGTCCACCCTCGGCCCACGAGCCGCCGTGGCGAACTTACAAGAACTACATTTCCCATGAAGCTCCGGGCGCAGAGGGGCCCGCGGGTGCTGTCGGGAAGAGGGAAGAACGTACGTGTGAGAAACCAGGTCGGGAGCTGCGAGGATGGCGGCTCAGCGAGGTGAGCGATTGGCCGGGAGGCCCGCGAGCGTGGGGCTGGGTCGCGTCCTGCAGACTCTTCCTGACCTAATCTGTCAGGTAGAGCCCACCCCGTTGGGTTCTGCTGAAAATAAATGGGTGCCAGGCAGGGGAGACAACACCTGCAACGAGGTTGGAGCCCATAGTGCAGCCCCCGAGGGAGGGGCCCGAGGAGAGGGGGCATGGATCATCTCCAGATGGGGTGCCGTTGGATGGTTACCTCATGTTTTCCCTCCTGTCACCTCACGGCAGCTGTTTGTCTCAAGTCAGCAGAAGATTCTCACTGCCCATTTTACAGATGGAAATATTGAGGCCATCGGAGAAGGCCCTCGCCTACCAATTTAAAAACTAAGCCAAACCCACTGCCATCGAGTTGATTCCGACTCATAACGACCCTATAGGACAGAGTAGAACTGCCCCACAGGGTTTCCAAGGCTGTAAATCTTTACGGAGGCAGACTGCCTCAACTTTCTCCCGCAGAATGGCTGGTAGGTTAGAACCACCAACCTTTTGGTTAGCAGCCAAATGCCTTAACCAGTGCACCACCAGAGCTCCTTACCTACCAACTTACAAGCATATTATCTGACTCTGTCCCCAGTCAAAACCCCAGAGAATTAGGGTCAGGCCTGAGGGGTGGAGTTGAGGCTGACACTGTCTGTCTGCCCATAGTGTTCCCACTTTCCTGTGTGGTGCAGCAGTATGCCTGGGGGAAGTTGGGATCTAACAGCGAAGTGGCCCTACTACTGGCCAGCAGTGACCCACTGGCCCAGATCTCAGAGGACAAGCCATACGCAGAGGTGAGACTTGCACTGTATTTAAGCTCATCATACTCACCGTAGGGACCAAGGGATGCTTCCATTCAAAGGGCCTGAGGCAAATCATATAGATCTACAGGGAAGGACAGCAAGGTGGAGGGGCCCTCTTTGCTCTTCAGATCAGTGCAGGTTGATGAACCAGATGGTGGCACCAAAAGAAGAGAGATTTAGATATAATGGGCTGTGATTCCCAGTATCCTCCTTTCCCCAAGAACTATCAGTACTCAGCACTTCATGCATTTTAATTTAGTCTGAGAGTACACTCTTGGCCAATTAAAATGTTTACTTTAATTTTTGCATTTTTATTATCTAAACTATACATTTTTCTTGCCTGTTTAGTAGAGAAAAAGCCAAAGCAAAAGAAGGCTTTAGCTTCTGCATGAGACTGAATAAATGAATATTAACCCTTCATAGAGGTGGGTGAGAGTCACAGCTCTTCAGTGACATTAACAGTGCAAGTGTCATTCTCTTCTTCTGACAGAAGAGGAAACTGAGGTCCAGAGAAGGGAAGTAACTAGCCCAAGGCTCCACAGAAGCAGAACCTGAACTAAAGCTTTGGTCTCCCAGCTCCTGGTGTTCTGGGGTCTGCTCCCTTCCTGTAAGTTAGAGATGGTGTGAGCATGAACACCTAGCCTGGAGGCCTGTCCTAGAACTCAGCTGCCCTTTGGAGAGCACGGGGTAACTGGGATTGGGCAGGCAGCCTGGTGGTACCAGGTTCTTTAGCCTTCCTCCCATGTTTTCTGTCTTTCCAGCTGTGGATGGGGACCCACCCTCGGGGAGATGCCAAGATCCTTGACAATCATATCTCACAGAAGACCCTAGGCCAGTGGATTGCTGAGAACCAGGACTGCTTGGGGTCAAAGGTCAAAGATACTTTTAAAGGCCAACTGCCCTTCCTCTTCAAAGTGCTCTCAGTTAAAACAGCGCTGTCCATCCAGGCACACCCTAACAAGGTACAGGATTAGGACAGGGTACAGAGGTCAGGGTGGAGAAGGGCTTATGTCAAGGCCCTCCCATGCCTTTTACTGCTGCTTTTATCCCACCCATGCCAGGCTCCAGCCCAAAGCTAAATCCAGACCTGACAGCTCCCAATTTAGCTCTGTAAGGCCAGATATTTGGTGACATATTCTGGGCAGCTAAGTCTAAGCAGACAGCTGACCAGCCTGTACCTGGTCAGCTTTTCCAAGTCCATTCCTAGGGGCTTATTCTGGGCTATCCTCACCCAACCCAGGTTGGTTCATATATACCTGTCATATTTCCACCTTCCAGGACGGTGCAGGTACTCTAGCTATTGCCTCAGCCCTATTTCTATGGAGTCTTCCTGCATAAAACTTCAGTCACTACCTAAGCAATTGTCTATCCAAAAATCCCTCATTTTTATATGGACAAAGACCCAGAGAAAAGAGATTTGCCCAGAGTCACACAGCTTATGTCACTTGGCCTGGTATCTGGGTTTCCTGATTTGCAGGCCAGATCTCTTAAAAGTCTGCCCCAGCTCTCCCTGCCCTCAGTTGCCAAACCCTGAATTTCCACATCAAGCCTGGGCTCATTGCCATCTGGCAGCTGGGGAGGGTGGTGAGCAGGAGCTGGGTTGGACTGGTAAAGAGTCATATTCCTGCTAGTTGATGGTGTACCCTGGCTGTCCTCTTCCCCTGGCCACACCCCAGGAGCTGGCAGAGAAGCTACACCTCCAGGCTCCAGAGCATTACCCTGATGCCAACCACAAGCCAGAGATGGCCATTGCCCTTACCCCCTTCCAGGGCCTGTGTGGCTTCCGACCAGTTGAAGAGATTGTGACCTTTCTGAAGAGTAAGGTTTGATATTTGTACGGGGTCTGGTACGTGTGGGGAATGGGAATGATGTCAGAGAAGAGGTTGAATGTCACAGGAACTGAGTGGCTGAGGAACTAACTAAGAGGTTGGCTTCTGGGAACAATTCTTGGAGCCAGTGGGACAGGCTTGGGTGTGGTCACCAGGGCTAGTGGTGAGCAGTCAGTTCTAACTGCAAAGTTTTATCAGCAGTGTCTGGCTGCTTGGGCCAGGGATGGGCTAGGAGTGGAATGGGGAGGCCTCCTCTAACTCCCCACTTCTGTCAGTTTATATCTCGCCATTCCTGATATGACCCTGGGCCCGGCCTTCCTACAGAGGTACCTGAGTTCCAGTTTCTGATTGGACATAATGCATCGACACAGCTAAAGCAGAGCATGGGCCACGACTCCCAAGCTGTGGCTTCTGCTCTGCAGAACTGTTTCTCCCACCTGATGAAGAGTGAGAAGAAGGTGGTAGTGGAGCAGCTCAACCTGCTGGTGAAGCGGATCTCTCAGCAAGGTGGGTGTGGTTGTAGGCCTGGGGGTGAAGTGTGCAGTGCCCCATCTTGGGCTCTCTGACATAGACACTAAGCTGAGGGGACAGAACTCTCAATCCTTTTGTCCAAATGGGACACTAAATTGGGCCCAGTGTAGATGGCCTGTTAGCAACTTAGCATTTCTTTCTCTGTCTTTGTGGAGCAAAGGAGCGCTGGTGGCGTAGTGCCTAAGGCATTTGACTGCTAATGAGAAGGTTGGTGGTTCAAATCTACCAGCTACTCTGTGGAAGGAAGACTGGGCAATCTACTCTCATAAAGATTTACTACCTCGGAAACCCGAAGGGTGTTGCTATGAGTCGGAATCGACTTGATGGCAGTGAGGTTTTTTTTTTGTGTGTATGTGGAGCAGGGTACTAGGTTAAGTGCCATGTCTAAACTGGTCATCTTCTCTAGATGGGTGGAGGCAGACTGGCCTACAAGACTCAGGATGCCTTCCACTCAGTGATTCTGAGATTTCCCTTAGCCCTGAGGCTGCTCCACATAGATAGATGACTTATGTTTGGGGGCTAGCAAGCATTAAGAGGACAAAGGGATCCAACCCCCTTTTCCAAAGGCCTGATGCCCAGAGTTCTCAATCATTAGATCTTTCCTTGAATACTGTGTTATGTACCCAACCTTGTGCTAAGTAAGGAGATGTGATGTGATGTGATGGTTGTGGTCATGTCACCTTTGAGTTGGGAAGTCAACACAGGCAGTGAGAAACACAAGGCAGAACCAGCTCTCAGCTTTGAGATGATATGGCCCAGAGGATGTGTCTCATCTTCTTAGCCTGGCAGCCATAGTCCCTTCTCCAGATGGCTCAGAGGTCTTTTATGGTTCGGTCTGTACATGTTTTCCCCACCACCTTTAAGCCACAAGGAACTGTTTATTTAACTCAGGCTTGCCCTGTATGTTTATTTTGGAGTTTTCTCTGCTTGTAAACCTCTTCCTTAGGGTGTCTTGTACTCACAGAAGAACTGTGAGTTCTTCTGTGATACTCCTGCCCTGAGCTCCTGTAACCCCATGTTCATACAGCTATGAGTCTGTATCATCATATGCACACTTGTTAAACTGGGGTGACCTGCGTCCTCAATCTTTGTGTGTGTCTCCAGTGCTTAGCATAGAGTAGACATTCAGCAAGTCTCTGTATGAAGAACTTAGACCAACCTTCCAGCCCAGGTCAAGCTGGTTTCTTCGTTGTACCCTTCATACACTGCTTTTACTTAGAAATACCCTCACTCCTTCTATGCACACCCTCTCCCCCCTCCAAGAAGCCTTCCTTCCCCACTCTAATCCAGGCAGAGCTCATCCTACCTTGGTCAGTCTCCAGGACACATTTTGGACCCTGGCACACTCTGCTTCATGCTCTCTGGAGTGGCCAACTATCCAGGTTTGCATGGGACTGAGGAATTTCCTGACACGTGGGACTTTCCATGGTAAAACCAGGAAAGTCCTAGGCTAACCAACAGTTGGATATATGGAACTCTTTTGGGTTATCTCCCTAACTAGATTTTAAGCTCCTAGACAATGTTTCTCAACTGGGGTGAGTTTGTCCCATTGCCCACCCCACCACCCCAGGAAACATTTGGCAATTATCCGTTTGTCATAACTGCTACTGATATGGGTAGAGGCCAAGGATGCTGCTGAACATCCTGCAATGCGTAGGACAGACCTTGGCAATAAAGAATTATCCAGGCCCAAAACACCAGTAGTGCCAAGGTTGAGAAATTCTGTCCTAGAAGAACCAGTCTCTGGCCATCCTGATGCTTAGTATAGTGCTAGCCACGTGAACGGGAGCTCTGGTAGCGTAGTGCCTAAGGCACTTGACTATTAATCGGAAGGCTGGCGGTTCAAACCCACCAGCCACTCCTCGGAAGGAAGGTTGGACAATCTACTTCTGTAGTGATAACCGCCTCGGAAACCCAAAGAGGGGTCACTATGAGTCAGGTCTGACTCAATGGCACATAACAACAACAACAAGGCACATAAACAGTCAAGATGTGGTGGGATAAATGGCATTATATGGGCTAGAATATCAAGGAAAGCTACTGGAAGTATGGCTAGGACAGGCTCACCATAGCCCCTGGATCTGTGTAGATAGGGACTCTTCCCCGGGGTGCCCTGATTCCCAGGCAAGGCAGGACTATGAGTACCACTGAGTGTTCTAAGTGACCTTTGGGTGCCTTTGATCCTCAGTGGCTACAGGAAACAATATGGAGGATATCTATGGAGAGCTTTTGCTGGAGCTGCACCAGCAGTACCCAGGGGATATTGGTTGCTTTGCCATCTACTTCCTGAACCTGCTTACCCTGAAGCCAGGGGAGGCCATGTTTTTGGAGGCCAATGTGCCCCATGCCTACCTGAAAGGAGGTAAGCCACATTTCAGCAGTGACCCCCACTACATCCCCTTTGGGCCTTATTTTCTCAATGCACAAAAGGGTGGTTGAAATCTTTTCTAAGGTTTCTGACCTCCTAGGGTTCTTGGGGTCAGGAGGGAAAGGGCCAATAAGGATGCTGAATACCAGCTTAGTGTTAGACACTACTTGAATCCTCACCCCAATCCGATGAGGTCGTTATACTCCCTGTTAAGCCCTCTAATAAGTATAACCAAAAAAACCAAACTCACTGCTGTCAAGTTGGATCTGATTCATAACGACCCCTCCTTGGGTTTCAGAGGCTGTATCACTATGGAGAGAGCTCTGGTGGTGTAGTGCCTAAGGCATTTTGACTGCTAACCAGAAGGCTGGCAGTTGAAACCCACCAGCTACTCCTGGGAAGGAAGGTTGGGCAATCTACTTCCATAGTGATACTGTCTTGGAAACCCAAGGAGGGGTCACTATGAGTCAGATCCGATTCAACGGCAGTGTTTTTTTTTTTTTTCCATCACTACTCCAGGGCTAACATGACTCCACCTGACTATAATGGGTAACCTGTCACCTATTTTTGGTATCTGATACCTTTTTTGGCCTTTTCTCCCAGAAAGAATGCAAATTCACACAGCATTTTACCTAACTCTTTGGGGTCTTCTAGAACTCAAGTTAAAAGGCACAGCCCCTGAAAGCCAAGCTCCGAGACACACTTCATCAGCTTAGCACATGCCAACTATTTGTCCCCAGACTGTGTGGAGTGCATGGCATGTTCAGACAATACAGTGCGTGCTGGCCTGACACCCAAGTTCATCGACGTGCCAACCCTGTGTGAAATGCTCAACTACACCCCTAGTCACAGCAAGGACAGACTCTTTCCCCCAACATGGAGTCAGGAAGACCCTTACCTTTCCATCTATGACCCCCCTGTGCCGGACTTCACCGTTATGAAGATTGAGGTGAGTGTGTGGCCTCAGTAGGTGTCCCTTTTGTGGCATGAGGAACCCTGGCAAGAGCCACAATGTGGAGTATACCTGGTCAGGCAACAGCCTGGAGTTAGGTTTCTTTTCTATCAAGTTCAGGTGGTAGGAGGTGGCCCCAGGCCTGTCCAGTTTTCTGTATCAGGAACAGCCATGGGCCTCCATGCCAACAAGAGCATTAGCAGTGGGGGAGAATGTAGTAGAGCTCTCCTGCTTAGTGCCCTTGGGGTTGGCCTGAGTCCTTGTGAGCTGATGGGAGTAGTCTGTGCTGTACTCTCCAATCATTTCTTCCTGCCCAGGTCCCTGGCTCCATCACTGAATACAAGGTCTTGGCATTGGACTCTGCCAGCATTCTCCTGATGGTTCAGGGAACAGTCACAGCCAGCACACCCACAGCCCAGGCACCCATCCCCCTGCAGCGTGGCAGGGTGCTCTTCATTGGGGCCAACGAGAGTGTCTCGCTGAAGCTTACAGTGCCTAAGGACCTGCTGATATTCCGAGCCTGCTGTCTGCTGTAGAGGCCTAAATCCAGGGCAGCCTCACTTTGTCAGGCCCAGCCTAAACCCCCTTCCCCGCTCTGTACTCTTTAGGCACACCCTAGAAGTTATCAGGAAGAGAATGCTCACATAGAAGAGTGAGCTAGAAGGTAATGACTGAGCACTCCCAGACTGAACCATCCCCTTTGGGGAGGAAGACTAAGGACCCACACTCCCCTTGTATTTTCACCACATGTGAGCTATGCTGGCCTGAGCTCAAGGAGGCAGCAACTTTGCTCCAGCCTGTAGCATTAGGCTACCTCGTGAAATCTATGTTAGTGTTACCATCACTTAGAATAAGAGTCTAGATAATTAATATCTGGGAACAGGGTTCTGGCTGTGGGACTGCCTGTTTCCTCTGCTGCCCAGAAGGCAGGCCCATGGACTAAAGTTGCTCATAGTCACCCTCTTACTATGTCAAAGCAATTAAAGATCTTTCTTGTGTTGAGGCTGTGGGGTGATGAGCACTTGGCCTCTATGTTCCAGTCCCTGAAGTGAGCTGAAAGCCCTCCCGGGATGTTTCAGTTTTGCTTTCTTCCTGCTTCAAAAAGCTCCCTGAAGGTGGGCAAGCTAGATTCTGGAGTCCTTTTATTAGTGGGAAGGGAGGAGGCCAGATTCGTGTCTCAGATGGAGAGCTTACACTCAGGCCTTAGGCCCTTCAGGTCTGCACACATACAATAGCGTCTGCACATTAAGGCTGGCATACCAAATGTGGCCTTACCTACTCATTTACTATCTATACTATCTAACTCCTTTCAGGCTACAGTGGCAAAGTTGAATAGTTGTACTAGAGACCCAATAGCCTGAAAAACTGAAACTTGACTGTCTGGCCCTTTACCAAAAATGTTTTTCAACCCTTTCTCAAGAGTACATTTGATCATTTAGATTACAGGGATTTGGGAACAGAATTACGTTTTTCTTATGATAGCCGTATCTTTTGAGTTGGCAGGAGGTACCTAGGAGGGTGTCTAATCTCTGTACCCACTTGTTAGGAACTGGACATACCTCTAGAAGAGACTACATAGCTGTCTGTGTCAATGCTGAAGTTTCTGACCTGTAATCTTGTTAACCCCAGACTAGAAAGAGACCGAGGCTATTAGCTCCTTCTATAGGGTAAGGGTTTTGACTTGCACAGAACTTTCTGGGCCCCCTTTACAATGGAGTTCCAGGAAATCAGCTTCAAAAAGTTATGGCCATCTGTTCTGGCTTCTTTAGCTAAAAAAAAAAGTTGAAGACTTGAGAATAAAGGATCTGCAAGGGCATATTCTGTTCATGGTCTCCTGTGAAGCAGGCCTAAACAGATGTTCATAGAGAACAGCTGCAAAAAGTGTATGTGTGGTTTCTGGGAGGAATGACCACAGTGGGGACTATAGGCTATTTTCACCTCAGGATCCAGAACAGGCAATAATTGGGATACAAGCCTTTTATCTATTGCAACAGATACACATAGCTTAGAGTATGATAACATTTATTCTTATAAATTTACAGAGCTGTAGAAGGATAAGCCAGAGTTCTATATTGTGTAAACACTATCTGTGCCACCCTGTCTGTGAAGCAAGCCCAGGTACACCCCTCTCCCTGCAGGGGACTATCACCTGCAGAACACCTAGCAACTGTATTAAGGCAGTGTGGCTCTGGGCACCTTGGTGCCTTTGTTGGTACTTTGACTTGTGGCAATTGGCCCCAAAGAGCTAACTGTTTTCACCTTGCCTTCCTGTACACTGCTTCAGGCCCCTGTAGCTTCTTATATATACACAGGGAAGGCCTCCTACATGGTGGTCAGCCAACTCTGGGACATCTTTCCAGGGACAGTTGCAGCCAAACATCAGTGTTGATTATAGTAACAACACCCAGAGGACCTTGGTCTTGGGGTCCTCCTATCACCCTCACCCTCACCAGCTGCCAAATGCCCAGGCTACTGAGTCCTATGGGAGCTCTGGTAGCATAGTGGCTAAGGCACTTGACTGCTCACCAGAAGGCTGGCGGTTCAAACCCACCAGCCACTCCTCGGAAGGAAGGTTGGGCAATCCTACTTCCATAGTGATACTGTCTTCAGAAACCCAAGGAGGGGTCGCTATGAGTCGGGGCTGACTCGACGGCAAACAACAACTGAGTCCTAGCCAGCTCCCCCACAGAAATAGGGCTCCACACTTGGCTTCCAAAACTACCTTCTGGATTCCTCCTCCCCCCAGTACACTGCTACATCTGAGCCCTATTCTCCACCTCTGCAGAAGCCAGAAGGGCCTGGATTCAGTATGGCTGGGCCAAAGGGCTCAGAATGCACATGTTCTCCCTCCCTGCAGGCATGTGCACAAAGTGCTTAGAAGGTTGGGCATCTAGGCAGAGCTTACAGAGGCCCATTCCAGAACAGAATAACCATCTAGCTGCCTTCCCTATTTCCAGACTCCAACCTGACCTGTCTCTGAGCTCTGTTCCATCTTGCTAATGCTGTGGAATTGCTAGCTAGTAACACAGAAGTCAGGTACAGCTCCCTAACAAAAAACAAGCATACTGTTGAGTCAGATCTGACTCATAGTGACCCCTTCTTGGGTTTCCGAGGTAGTATCTCTACAGAAGTAGCTGGTGGGTTTGAACCGCCAGCCTTCTGGTTAGCAGTCAGATGCCTTAGGCACTACGCCACCAGAGCTCCCTTCAGCTCCCTAGGTACTGTGTATTCCCCTCAACTTTCCAGTTTGAGAAAGTACAAAGATGGATGCTAATCGAGCACTGATGGGATTACTCTCATAGAGGTAGTGATCTAGCAATGACAAGGCCTTATGTTTTTACCTGACTTTTCTCAATCTTCCGGTCACTTCATGTGATAAGAGTGAAAGTCATTACCACCCCTCATGCCTCTTGCAGTTACAAGACATAAATGAAGGAACACTTTTCCAGGTGGGGCCCAGTCCTGATGGCCATACCTCTTAGGCTGGGAACCCTGTCTTTCCTCTTCAAATCACTCCTGGGTGAGGCAAAAAAGGAATCATTGAAAAACAAATTCTAGAGGCTCAGTACAGCAAGGGATGCTATCTCGTGGGGGCCATGGGGAAAACTATACTTGTCTCTGCTGCACCTAGAGGTTATGAAGCCCAGTTCTGAGCTAGACCCATGCTGTGGTCTCAGGAATCTGGATGGCTGACAAGAATGGCCTGTGCTGGGGTGGGGGCAGACCCCTACACTGGCAGATTGGTCTTGGGCAGGGGCCTTGTGACCTGTTTTAGTTCCTCTTCCTCACCCTGTCTGTGAGCCTCTATCTAGGTGAAAGCCCACACACCTCTCACCCATTGCTATTTCTCAGTTTAAAAAGCTACATAAATAGAAGGCACCAGACTGCTCCCTGCAGCTCCCTCTGCTGGTAATCACAAAAGCTTGAGGCTTCTGAGGCCAGCCCCAGTCGCCTTACTAACCAAGACCCAAGCAGAAAATGACAACGAAGGAGTACAATTAAGATATGTATGTGGTACAGCAATTTTCCTCTTAAGGAAGGGCTGACTAGAGTCACCAAATCTACGCAGACAGAACTCTTAGGGGAGGCACTAGGTCTAGGGATTCTGGAAGCCTTGATCCTGCTGCATCATTAAGTACCTGTATTCCCTGCCATGGTCAGATTTACAGGTGCAACCTGAACAGGGCCAAAGGCTCCTCCCACATGTCCTTTGAAGGTCAAATCTGTAACCTCTCTTAGAGCTGAGGGGAGGAGGACAGCATATGAGACTTCTTGAACTGGTTCCTAATAGTTAAATCGTTTTTCAAAGATTCCCAGCTACAAGCCATAAAGTGCTTATTCTCTGCCTCCATCTACCACTATCCAGTACAGCCTGGGCACAAGGCTATTTGCCTCCCCTAGAGCATGATGGGGAGCTCTGGTAGCATAGTGGCTAAGACACTTGCCTGCTAACCAGACGGCTGGCGGTTCAAACCCACCAGCCACTCCTCGGAAGGAAGGTTGGGCAATCCTACTTCCGTAGTGATACTGCCTCAGAAACCCAAGGAGGGGTCGCTATGAGTCACTATGAGTCAGGGCCGACTCGACGGCACATAACAACAACAAGAGCATGATGACAAATACGTCAGTATGTCTGCAAGTGTTTTTCTTAGCCACTTTGTCACCCACCGTAAAAAACCAAATTCCTCTATGTTCTGCTCTTATTAAAGTGGTTTCTCTAAACTACTCCAACAGCAGAGGAAAACTGCAGAATTCCACCTATGACCCATGGTCCAGATAGGGGCTTCTGCCCAAGAAGCACCAGGTAAGGGCCGCCTGCTGGTCACTGACTTTCCCGGGGGGTCTCAGTGCTCCCAGCGAGTCTGGGGCTGACAATTCCCACTGCACTCTTTGAGCTATGAAGGGCCACCAGGGCTCTGCAGGCCTCCTGGTGAATGTGACTCATTTTTGGTGTCGGCCTGAGGGTATGTCTACTGGAGGGTGCAGGAGGAAGAGTCCCCAAGACAGCACCAGCAGCAGGAGCAAGTTGAGGAGGCCATAGGCTTGGGGGGAATTAGGTCCAAGTCCTCATCATCTGGAATCTCATCCAGGTGATAACCATCCTGGAGCAGTTGCCGGCTCACCTCCTGGTTCACCTGCTAAAAGCAGAAAGAGGAGAGGGAAATGTAAGCCTGGCTACAAAGCAGAAACAACTGCTGTCCAAAAGGCCTGTCTATTCCCTTACCAGGGCTTCCTGTCCATGCACTACCCCAGATATCTCTGGACTACAGGAGGAAATACCACCTTTTCCTAGCTGTACCTCACAAAGCAGTGAGGGGCACCAAGGAGCTTCTGGTAGTACTGTCTGGGCTACACTGTCACTGACCCCCAGAGGAGCTGCTCTCACTAAAGATCCCAGAGGCATCTGATGCAAAGATCAAATTCTAGATTGTTTGAAAGTCAATACCCTGACTGTTGCTACTGAGAACCCAGATAGGTCTTTAAGGCTCAAGACCATGGGAACAATGGCACTGGAACAATAGGCCAGAGTAGTAGAGGAACACAGGTTACAGTGGAGCAGGGCAGGGAGCAGCTTTGCACTGCTGGTTAGACACTGATGTCAGCAGGGATGGGTCCCTGCAAAATGGAACCTGTCAGCCTGGCTTCACCAGTTCCACTGAGCAAAAAAAATACAGAGGCTAGAACAGTGTAGGACTGCCTCTGGTTCTCAGCTAATTTTTTGTTTGTTTGTTTTAACAATCTTGGACACTCAGACCTTCAAGGAGGACACAATTTATAAAATGGCCCTATTCTCTTTGGCAGAAATTCAGAAGGTAGCCAAGGGTTTCCAGGAGAATAAGGAAGAAATACCAGTGGTGTACACTCATGTCCCCAGCACTTCACCTTTGTCAAAGGCAGTAAGCTGCACATGCCAGAACTTTGTGTGTCCCTATGTTCTTGTCTAGGACAATCAGAATGTTCACTCTGGAAACATGTCCACAAAGCCAACCTAAGAGTAGCTCAGTCTGAGTTCCCACAGAAGGAACAACTGCAGGAACATGATGTTTTGGCCTGGGAGAAAGCAAGCTTGGTGGAGAGTGGGTGGGAGAGAGACAGGAATGCTGACCTCAGGAAAAAAAAAAACAAAGACACTAAAAAGAAGGGAGACTAGAATTACAGTATTACTGGAGTACAGGCCTAGGACCAACAGGACCAGGCCACAGGCAACATTTCAAAGCAGTAAGAAAAACTTCTATGAGTTATCCAAGGGAATTGTGTGGGGTGTGTGTGTTGGAGGTAGGGAGCAGAGACTAGTAAACACTTAGCTGGGATTTAGCAAGAGGATTCCTTTTCTAAGTGGTGGCCTGAACTAGAAAACGTTGAAGTCATTTCCAGCTCTGAGGATCTATGATCTCCTGGACTTTTAATAGCACTCAGACACCTCCTACACCTCTGCTGGGGAAAGAGGGCAGAGTGGACTATTGGAGAATAGACCGGAAGTCCAGCACAGTGCTGTGCATATGGCAGGCACTAGGAAAGCTTTTGGTAGTGCTGATGATGCTGCCTGCAGCCTGGCACCATGCAGAAAAATGCTCTGGACTTGCCTCTGCAGAGGAATACCCGGAGGAGTATCTGGATTCCAGCTCCCCATCACTAGGAGAAGAGGAAGACAATCAGTTCAGGGGGCTGCCTATGGAGAACAGCTGCAAAAGGCAAGGTGGAGAGCATGCAAGGGGGTTTGGAGGATTTGTGGAGCAAAGACCACTCACCACAGAACTCAAGCCCAAAATCTGTATGAATACAAGTGGCTCCTTGTACGAATACAAGTGGCCAGGATGATGCCCTCAGACAATATTGCTGCTCCAAATCCAAGAGGAGCATGATCACCCATGAATTTTCTAACCAAGCCACTATAGGAAGGGCTAGTGGTCAGACATAGGACAGGCCTCGGACATGCAAGAAGGGCAGTGGAGATGACAGGGAACAAGGGAAGGTGCCAAATGATCTGCAGTTCTATCCAAGTCACTCCTCAAGAGGCATTTCCAAGGACAGCACTCACCTGTCAGAGTCGAGAGACACCAGGTTTTCATCTGGACTCTGGCTAAGAGCGGTATATCCCTTGTTAAACTTCACTGAGCTAAGGGGAAGTACAGGAAGAAAGACCAAGCATAGATAAGAAAGCACCATCATTTCCCAGGAACCACCTTACGGATTTTCCTTATAGAAACAAATGGACTGCAATACCACTCCTCAGAAGGAAGGTTGGGCAATCTACTTCCATAATGATACCGCCTGGGGAACCCAAGGAGGGGTCACTATGAGTCGGGTCCGACTCCACGGCGCATAACAAACCCCTGACTTGCCTTCTACCCATCACACAGCCACCACTGCCGGGTAGTTACAAGCATCTGGGTGCTGCTTCTCTGAATATGTACTCTAACTACACTCCCGCCACCTTCTCCTTCTCCACCTTCTCCTTCTCGTAGAGGAAAAGCACACCTCCCTTTGCATGAGTCAGAAAAAGCACCCCTTAGAGATCTTAAGCCCTTTATTTAAGGAGAAGGCAGAAAAACAAGTCCTTGGGCAAATCCCTTCACCTTTCTGAGTTTCAGCTCTTACTTGTAAAAGGAGGCACTGGGTAAGTGCCTATCCAGCTCTGAGGGTTTACTAGTCTGTTAAAACGAAAAACAGCACTGGCTATTCCCACCCTGCTTTCCATCTTCACTATTGGCGATGCTGGCCACCAAGTTCCTTCCTAACTCAGACACGTGAATGATCCTATATACTGATATAATCCCCTTATTCCAAAGCTCTTTCTTAATGTAATCACATGCTAAAACGAAAAGAGATGCTTCTTCCTCTTCACATTTAAAGGCAGTGTGGATCTGACAAGATGTTATCCAGGGAACACTAGCTGGGCCTTAAACGTGAGCACTTTGGCTCCCATCTTGAGGACTAAGGCCTTCTCTGAAAACCGCGGGGCACAGGAGGTGGCGCCTGCTGAGACCTTTTCCCTGAAGAGTCGGGACAGTTCGGCGAGGCCCCCAGCATGCCTTTTCTCCGCAGAATGGCCTTGGCCAGGTCCCGGTGCTTCTCTGGAAGTCAAAGGGCTCGGGTCAGGGGATCTTCCCCCCTCCGATGTATCGCCCGAGCGCCGGGAGGCTAATCCTCCGAACAGAATTTCGGAGGAGGGAGTGGGGTGCACCTAATCCCTTCCCTCCCGGGCCGAGAGCCAGCGGGGCTCCTGGAGCCCGCCCCAAGGACGCGGCAGCCCGCCCGGGCTCCCCATCGAGCCGCACTCACGCAGCTTGTGCTGAATGGAGGGCGCGCGCGCCACCATGTATGGGCCCCGCTTCTCTACGGCCGCAGAGGTCCGCTCTCCCTCCCGGGAGATTCCACCGCAGCTTCTCCCGGAGGGCTGCCCCACAGCTCCTGCTGTTCGGTCCTTGGCCCAACCAGGCTGGGGTCTTTGGCTAGACGCCCGCGCCCCGCGCGATACAGGCTCCGCGGACGCCATGGCCTGGCCACACCCCACTAGACGACTCAGCTCCGCCTCACAGGTAAGAAGCCATTGCCCGTGCAGGAAGCGGACTTTCCCTTAGCAAAATGGCCGCATGCGGGCAATGTCTGTCCACGCCCAGTCCTTTCTGGCCCGCCTACTGTGGGGTTGTCCCAACTGTTTCGTAGGGTGTGTACTTTCGGTCCCTCCTTTCAGGGACACTGCGGTCTGAGCCTGGCGTTGTCGAGGTCTAGTTCTGTCTCTTTTGTTGTTGTTAGGTGCCGTGGAGTCGCTTCAGACTCATAGCGACCCCATGAACAGCAGAACGAAACACCGCCCGATCCCGCGCCAGCTCCATGATCCTTGCTATACTTGAGCCCATTGCCGCAGCCACCATGTCAATCCATCTCCTCGAAAGCCTTCTCCTCTTTCGTCGACCCTCCACCTTACCAAGCATGACACCCTTCTCCAGGGAATGGTCACCAAAGTAGGTGAGGCGAAGTCTGGCCATCTCACTTCCAAGGAGCATCTTGGCTGCACTTCCTCCGGGACAGATGTTAGTTCTTTTAGCAGCCCATGGTACCTTCAGCATTCTTCGCCAGCACCACAACTCAAAAGCATCAACTCTTCTTCTGTCTTCCTTATTCATTGTCCATGTCTCATGCATACCAGGCGATTGGAAATATGGCCTGCGCGATGTTTATCGAGGGCCAGGGGTGTGCGCCTACTAGACGGGAACTCTACTGCCTTGGTGTGCACGCGCTCTCCGTGCTCCTCACAGGGTGTGTGGGGGGGTGTCCTTTCCACACACCTCTGGAGCTCCGGAGGCCGGACCTAGGAGAACTTGAGTGAGGTGTTAGCGCCCTTCACAAAAGGAGGGAGCTCTGGTAGCGTAGTGCCTAAGGCACTTGACTGCTAACCGGAAACCAGAAGGCTGGTGGTTCAAACCCACCAGCCACTCCTGGGAAGAAAGGTTGGGCAATCTACTTCTGCAAAGATACTGCCTCAGAAGCCCAAGGAGGGGGATCTCTATGAGACAGGTTCCCCTCGATGGCACATAACAACAACAAACAAAAGGAAATAGCCCTAGAGACTGACAGAGCTAACTGCAGAGCCTGCATTCTTTCCGACAGAATGCAGGGCTTGACATCTTGGACAAGGCCTGACTCCAAGCCTCAGTTTTCACATTTTAAGATGGAGCCAATGCTACTAACCTACAGAGACAAACAAGGGCAAAATAGGTCGTGGAAAGACGGGTGAAAGGACACTGAGTCTGTGTGTGGCAGGCCATAGAGCTGTGTCAAGGCGCTTGACTTATTTGGCCCCCAAGGGATATGCTTGTGGCTAGCTGGAAAGAAGCCGTAGATCCTTGTAGGAACTGCCAAATCTCAGGAGGCTGTCCCATGGCTAATTTATTGGCCTCCACAGAGTAGGTCAACAGCGTGCAACCTCTGAGTCCTCAGGACCACACAAAGCCTTGGGTGGAAATATGGAAATATGCCCTAGACAGAATACAAGAAAGAATCTAGGGTTGGAGTTGCCACTCAAACCCTTAGGTGGAACTATGCCTTAGACAAGATAAAGAATTTAGGGTTGGCATTTTTGAAAAATCAGGAGCACAAAAGGATTCCTACTATTTTGGTAGATTCCACCAGTGCACGATAATAGTTTTTGACCCACAGCAATTTCAAGTGGCTTAATATTTCATCTTACAACCTCCCAATAAAGAAGATAATTATTCCTGTTACATACGTAAGGTTCAGACATGATCATATTCACCAGTCAACTGGTAAATCTAGAATTTGAATCTCTGTGTGTCTAAAGAGCCCCTGCCCCATGTTACCTGTTAAACTGATGGTGATCTCAACAAAAACCAAAGAAAATGTGATCAAAACCTACTTGATGTTGCCAGAAACTTGTAGCAATAATGAGTCTGAGCAGTTTCATACCTGTCCCTCCCAGGTGTCTCATCAGTAATACTTTGTTAGTTCTGTGATAGAACATGGACACTAAAGCCAGATTGTTTAGGTTTAAATCTTTGCTTTGACACTTAACTGGCAAGTTTGTTAACCTCTTTATGTCTCAGTTTCTTTAATTAAGAAATAAAGAATCACTGGGGGGTGCAACCAGTTAACATGCTCCACTGCTAACTGAAAACTCCAGAGGTTTGAGTCCACCCAGGGGTGCCTCAGAAGAAAGGCCTGGTGATCTACTTCTGAATAATTGGCCATTTCTGCTCCAACAGCTGATCATCATGGGGTTGCTATGAGTTGGAGTCTACTATATAGCAACTGGTTTTTAATCTAATTGAATCATTATGAAGTTAAATTGTACAATGCTTAGAATGGTGCTTGGCATATATTTGGTAATTGTGGTAGTTCAGTTTGTGTGTCAACTTGGCTGGGCAGCTGGATGTAGTATTCCCCATGATGAGACTGGTAATCAACTCCATAGTGGAATCTACTGTGAGCAGCTGAGTAGCTGCCTTAGGGACTGTGATCTCCTTCCTGTATGTAAGCAGAAACCTTGGGGAATGGTCTCTAGCTTATGGCACACTTGAACCCTGCATGTAGCGGTGTCGTTGTTCAGCAGCCTGCCATGCTCTGCCAACTTTGGGACTTACAATGGCCTTGAATTGACCTGCCGTGTGGTTTGGTGACATCAGGATTGTGCCTTTTTACTTGTCAACCTTAGGCTTGGTAGCCTCAGCAGCCAGCCAGCAGCTGTCTGAGTGAAGAAAAGCCTCTAGCTTCAGTGGGCAGGGAGCTGGAGGCAAAGCTGAACCCAAGTCTGAGGGGCTTTCACCCAGCACCTAAAGCTTGGCACTTTGAATTTGGACTTAAAGCCTACGAATTTTAAGAATAAACTCCTGTTTGTTTAAGCCATGCCATTTATGGTATATATTCTTACCAGAGCGGCACTAGGTGACCAGAACAGGGCTGAAGAAAGGTAAGCTATTACATTTACACGAATTTTAAGAATAAACTCCTGTTTGTTTAAGCCATGCCATTTATGGTATATATTCTTGCCAGAGCGGCACTAGGTGACCAGAACAGGGCTGAAGAAAGGTAAGCTATTACATTTACACAAATAATGAGTGCGTTGTACCTTTTTGCCAACATGGCCTTCCCAAGATACTTTATAAGCACACTATGCTTCTTCTCCCCCCATGTTGCTGTCAACAATTGGCATAGTGTGCTTACGAAAATACCCTGGGGGGAGAGTGTAGTTGGCAAAAGAAAACCATGTAAGTCATGCATTATTTGTGTAAAAATATGGCTCTGGTAGCTTAGTGCCTAAGGCACGTGACTGCTAACCAGAAGGCTGGCGGTTCAAACCCACCAGCTACTCTTCCTCGGAAGGAAGATGAGCCAATCTACTTCCGTAGTGATACTGCCTCGGAAACCCGAGGAGGCGTCGCTATGAGTCAGGTCCGACTCGACGGCACGTAACAACAACAAACCCTATACAGCATTCTAAGAATTTAGTGTCACCAAATTTCTCTCACTTGGCTTTCCAGTACCCAAGGACAGACTAACCTATTCATTTTGTCTTTGTTTCTAGCACAAGATCAAGTTGTTAGGTGCCGTCGAGTCATCTCTGACTCACAGCAACCCCATGCACAGCAGAACGAAACACTGCCTGGTCCTGTGCCAGCTTCACGATCCCTGCTATACCTGAGCCCATTATTGCAGCCACTGTGTCTATCCATCTCGTTGAGGGCCTTCCCCTTCTTTGTTGACCCTCCACTTTACCAAGCATGATACCCTTCTCCAGGGAATGGTTCCTCCTGACAACATGACCAAAGTAAGTAGGATGATGTCTGGCCATTCTCGCTTCCAACATCATAGAAATCACAAGATCATAGAAATATTTATTGTATGAATGTCTTATCCGTCTCCTCCTTTAACTTTTAAAATAAAGTCATTAAACTTTGGGGCTGGAAGGGATCTCAGAGATTATATAATCCAAATTTTTTATTAATGATGAAATTGTTATCACCCAACTATCCTGTAGGATACTTCCCTTTTTCACTTATGTTCACTAGGAACTTATCAAAAATAAATTACACCTGTGGCCCCAAACAACAAAACGTTAAGTTGTAAGGGGATGAAGCTCTAGAGCAAGAACTGCCGTAGCACACAGGGCACCAACCCCTTCTTCCTTACTCCTGCTACTCAGACCCTAACCCAGAGTGACTGTGCTGGCTCCCTTGCTAGGTCTGGGAATCCCCAGCTCCTCCATTTTAAAACCTTTATTCATCTCTGATTTGATTTTGTGGCAAGGCCTGTGATAGGCCCAGTGGACCTAATGATGAATAGGACAAAGTACCTTCCAGTCTCTGATTCCCAGTCTTGTTTCATATTTTTTACTGGCATGGTGGGTTCTGAGGGGATGAGGTTTAATGGCTGTTAGGTACAAAAACTCCCACCTACCTTTTGGGACATTCTGCCTCACTGGGTCTAGCTTTCCATGCATATGAGACAACGGAAAAGGCCATGGCTTGGGTCAGGTGCATCTTAATCTTCAAAGTGACATCTGTGCTCTTTAACATTCTAAAGAGGTCTCTTTACAGCAGATTTACCCAATATTGCATATACCATGGACTGCCAGAAGAATGAACAAATCTCTCTTGGAAGTAGTACAGCCAGAATGCTCCTTAGAAGCAAGGATGGCAAGACCGTCTCATGTACTTTGGTCATGCTGTCAGGAGGGGCCAGTCCCTGAGAAGGACATCATGCTCAGTAGAGGGTCAGTGAAAAAGAGGAACACCCTCATCGAGATGGGTTGACACAGTGGCTACAACAGACTCAGAGCCAACAATTGTGAGCACGGCACAAGACTTGGCAGTGTTTCATTCTGTTGTACACAGGGTCACTATGAGTTGGAACCAACTCGATAGCACGTAACACACTCCACTGGATAGTCACATTCTTTACTTTCCTTGGCTTCAGCTCTAGGGAATCCCAATTCCCTAAACTTTCCTGGTACTGGTCCCCATCATCAGTTGAGAATTC